CCAAGCTCAGCGGCTAATTAGCCGGAAACAGCTGAAGTGACAAGACAGCAAGCAGCGAGACCTAACTGTCACTCAATGCCCTTAATTATGCAGACTTAATAAAACTTAATAAAAACTAATGGGATGAGTTATAAAAAAAAATAAAATCACCCCCTTACAGTTGTCATGAAGAGTAATCATAGCTTTATGTACCAAAGCCAGCTTTTGTACCAGGCTGTAAAAATGTTTTTATCAGCTGTAAAAAAATGACCAATTTACCAATGCTGTCAGAAATCAACTGGATTTCCTGGAGCCAGCCCCCCAAGGCGCGTCAATGAATTGCAGTTTTAGTTACTTCCGTATTGGCTACCCGAGAGAGAGCGGGAGGTTGCCACTTGGTGCCTACATTAAACTACTCCAACCATGTGGTTAAAAATGTATTGAAACTAACTGAAAAAAAACATTAGGGATTATACATATTGATTGAACAACATTTTAGGTTAAATATCCAAGGGCGTAGAATTGGCATGGACTGAGGGGATGTGTCCCCACCAATATCCACCAATTACTGAAATGTCCCTACTAATAATATTATTGACTTCAAGATAAAATAATGCTCCATCAACCCTTCGTAACCTACACACGCACAAAGTCAAGTTTGCTACGAGTTCAGCATAATGCTATTAACCAAGGCTGTGCAATTAAGCAAAATTCGGTTTTGATTTTGGACTCCATAATTATGAAAAACAATAATCGAGATAAAACTGTTAAATTGCATCACACACCTCTCTAAATTTCTCAAATTCTTACCTCCTCAAAGCCTGACTGCAGTAAAATCATGTAACTTGACTTTTGCATTATGGGGCAGGATTGTTATTTGTATTATGAAGCGTTTATTTTCTATCATTAAGTCCTTTATTCATGTTTTTAAAAGCGCAAAACAGAATTTCTGCTGTTCAATGCATGAGCTCTGGGGATGTATGTCCCCACCAATGTCAAGAGCTAATCTACGCTCTTGGAAATATCTCACAATATTTACAGTGTAGATCTGGAAAATGAGTAGAAGATGAGGTCAAAGACCAAAATAATAACAGCAAATTCTATAATTTCAGTTGGTTGACCAACGGATGTGAGCTAGTCAAGAAACCAGACACAAAGACCAGCATCCAAACACAACATATGCTGGTGATCATCCATTTTGGATCTTTCAACAAAGCAAATACACTGAAAAAAATGATTTAGGCCTCTATTAAATTAAACATAATTCAATTTAGTTTATTTTAAACAATTTAATTTAGTTGTTGATTTTATTAAATTATTATTAATCGGGTTTAAGTGAATTAGATGTGTTTTGAACCAATCTAAATCAATTAATTAAAGTCTATTAGAAAAAATTATGTTAGCTTTGTGCGCATGCGCGTTATGTTCCGTTGCCTCGGCGCCAAAGCCCAAAGGAAGGTTTACAGAATCCAGTCAGATTGAAGCAAGACACCACAGCCGGATTTCTGTACATCCATTTGCACAGTAAGTCACATTTTATATTGTACCAGACTGTTTATTAAAGAAAAACTTTGTGGGTAACATAAACGCATAAAATGGTCTCTCGTTCGGACTGTCTATTTTGGTCGTTTTTAAATTTCACAGCGACCAGCCGTCGAGCGCGCTCGCAAGTTAAGCTAACAGTTAACGTTACACACGGTTTGACAAATCTCGTTTTTATGTCGCAGAATATATTAAAGATTCTTTTTAGCAAGAATGTAGTTATGTAGACTTGATATATAATGTTTTTTAATGAAGTAAATGGCTATTTTCAAGAGAATAAGCATTTTCTTTGATGTGACGACAGTGTCCGTGATCCGCCATTCCAAACGAAAAAAGCTTCGTTGCTAACGTTAGCTCAGTCCTTTGTGAATTTACCGTGGCTTTTACTGTGGTTAACATTAAGCATGCGTTTAGATAGTTGTGAACGGACAGTACCATACTGATTTTGTTATAGAACGATTTGGTCTGGCGTTAGGGCACTACTGACTGTCTTAAGCAGGTCGCACACCAGAAGCGACGCTCGGCGGCGCGCCGCGCAGCGCCACGTATTTTAGAATTCTAATTATAGGTTTCTATCAGGATACACACACCGGCGCCGCAAGTCGGCGGCTGTCGGCGGCGCCCGGCGACGGCTCAGGACGCAGTTCATTTTTCAGCCGCGCCACAGAGCGCCATCTGATTAGTTTCATGTTAAATATCATTCGAATGTGCGCGTCTGGTGTGCGATACTTTAATCTGTCATGTACGCGCCGTGTCGCGGCGCCGAGCGGCGCTTCTGGTGTGCGACCTGCTTTAGGAGGTTGTCGAATGTGTGCCCATACTGGCGTAACATTAACTTTTAACGTAAAGGGCGTCCATTTATAGTTCTTTATTTTTTTACGTGAGATGCTGTAATTATGTCTTTGGGGTTATAATGCACTTAATAGGCTAACTTATATTCACAGCAAGTGTTTATCAGCCACCGATAAACGTCCAGCGCAGGGGTTAACTTAATGTGACTTTTTCCATATTCATAAAGTGCCTTTTACATCAACGATAATGTAATTTAATTAAAATAATATCCTATAAATAAGCTGAAGCAATCATTTAGTTGTTCAAACGTAAAACACATGCAGACGAGTGCTAAAACTTCATGGAAAATATTGTGGTTAAAATAAATTGACATTTTTAAGACATGGCGTTGAAGAATGGAATTTAATGCAGTGCTTTGACTGGTCTGAGACAGACTTTATATCGTATCAATCAGGCAGTGACGATTATCTTAATCATATTAATCACGTTCAGCAATTTGTTCAATAAGTAATTTATCTAAATGTATGTTGCCTAATATAATTAATCTGTAAACAATATGTTGATTAAGAAGTTGGTCATGTTGTAACTTGTGCTGAATTTTGAACCTAAATGATAATCATGTGCTTCCTTTCATTTGAGGTACTGTACAACAAGTTTCCTTTGCTGAGTTCCTTGGTCAGGGGTTTAAACACATTTTCTGTCCAGTACTGCAGTTGGAATTTTCCATCAACATTTTTATGGTAAGTAACTGCAAAACATTTATCACTACACATTACAGTAAACAGTTTCTTAACTGAATATGTTGCTCTGAAAAATCTAAATAGTCCCAAAAAAGGAAATTTACTCACTATTCACTCACCATGGTTTTAAACCTTTGAGTTTCTTTTATCTGTTGAACACAAGACAAAATATTTTGAAGAGTGTTAGAAACCAGTAATCATTGACATTCATAGTAGCAAAAACATATTATGGAAGTCAATGGTTACCGGTTTTCATCATTTTTCAAATTATCTTATGTTGTGTTTATCAGAACAAAGAAACTCAAACAGGTTTGTGACAAGTAAAGAATAAGTAAATGTTATTGTTGCTTCCCTAGTTTTTACAGTACTAGGGTGCAGTAAGAGCACAAACACAGAGTTCAAATTTGATTCAACTCCGTGATTCTCTCAAGAGAGCCGACCAAAATGTCTGACCTGCCATAAAATGATTCGACTATCTGCCGACCAAGAGAGGTTATTCACCTTTTTTTTCCTCCTGTACATTGCATCAACACAGCACAGCAAATATCAAAGTTGAAATTTAAATTGATTCAAAGAAGAGTCGCATCAGAATTTGGCTCAAAATTGCACAATAGAAATTCGGCCTTAAGCCTGGTTTGTACTTCTGCGTTGAGTGATTGGCGTGACCTACTGCGCCTGCCCTGCGTGCAGCTGAGCACTTATTACTTGTGCGCGCTGTTTGTGTTGTTCTACAATAACACTTACAAAAGCAGTAGGTTTATATGTTCCCTCTGTATGGAGTTTCTTCGCTTGGGTTTTGTTTTTTCTGAACACTACCTTAATGAACAAGCGGATAAAACTCGCTCATTCTGAGGCGGTAGCTGGCGGTCATGCAACAACTTTAATCATAAGGTAAACACAAAGCAACAGATTCCACCTGGAGCTATTTCATGGGACTCTACACTTGTAAACACTCGCTCCAATGGGTTGGCGTGGCTCTCAACCCCGCCCACACACGTAAGCACTACCAAGCCCACTAATAGAACGTGCGCTACGTGTTGTTGCGATGTGTAGTTACATTTTTGGAGAGATGCGCCATGGCAAGGGCTATTCAACTGCGCGCAGGCTGCGTCGGACCATACACGTGCATTTGACGCAGAAGTATAAATCAGCCTTTACATGTCTTTATCTTGGCTGAACATGTTAAATTACAAGGTAGTCGAAAAAAGAAATCCCTTTAAATATAGTGTAACTAAACAAACTATTCACAAGTAAACAGTCAGTTGATTAAATAAATTTGAGTATCATTATAAATGTAATATACATGTAAGGGACAATCGTCTGATTTAGGTGTGTTAAAGGATATTAAGTGCACAACATCGAGGCAAAGTTTAATGTTTAGATTATTACTGCAAGTTGAAATTTAATATAGTTTTAATTTCTAAATATAGCATTTTAAAAATAAATATATAGGCTATGTTCTGAATAATGCTCATGTCCCTGCTTGTCATGCCACAAACATACTTATATTCTATGTATTTGACGATGCAGTCAATGCATGCACTGAAAAAAATATGCTTATAGGCTACCTTTACCTGCAGGTTTCGCTAGCTGGGCAAAACTTAGATAGGCTATTAATAATAAATATACATTAAATATGTATAATTTTATTTGTGAAAGCAAGAGAGAAACTTGTGGGAGTGCTGTAATAAAGGAGTCTCAAATGACTAACAGTTGTGCATTACGGTAACGTGTTTTATTCGGGACATGGCATATGACAAATAATCGATAACATTTGAGCTGGTTTCAGTTATTAATTCTTTTTATTTTTAAAAATATATTTATTTAACAGGTGGCGCAGTGGGAAGCGCTCTCACCTCACAGCAAGAAGGTCGCTAGTTCGATTCTCGACTGGATCAGTTGGCATTTCTGTGTGGAGTCTGCATGTTCTCCCCGCGTTCTCATGGGTTTCCTCCGGGTGCTCCGGTTTCCCCCACAAGTCCAAAGACATGCGCTATAGGGGAATTGGGTAAGTTAAATTGTCGTAGTGTGTGTGTGTAAATGAAAGTGTATGGATGTTTCCAAGTGATGGGTTGCAGCTGGAAGGGCATCCGCTGTGTAAAACATGCTGGATCAGTTGGCGGTTCATTTCGCTGTGGCGACACCAGATTAATAAAGGGATTAGGCCGAGAAGAAAATAAATTAATATTTATTTAACTTAATGTTAATATAACACTACTGATGATTTTTAGCTGAATCTGTGGTACATGGTGATCCAAATAATGGCAGCGAATGAGGATGGGTTTTTCAGTTTAAGAATAAAGTCCAAATCTAAAGCCATGGCTCCTGATGAAGGTCCTGTAAAGTCAAACGATTGGTCTGTGTAAGAAATTTAACATTATTTGCAATATTAGCATTAATCCACGGCCTGGTCAAACAGATGGTTTTTGGGTTGTGAGACGTAGTTTAGACGAAGTTGTCGGCGATTCTTCCAATTGTAATGTCATGCAATGTTCAAGTCCCTGTCGCAGATCCATCTTGCTGTAAAAATAAAGCAGCAACGACTACTTTCAAAATCATGCAGTCTGAACTCGGCATTAGTTAATGAATAAACTTAGAGACCTGGATATCGACACGTCTCTCTGCAACTGGATTATGGACTTTCTGTCTAAAAGACCTCAGAATGTTAGATCAGGCCACATCTGCTCCACCATCTTCACACTCAACCCTGGTGTACCACAGGGCTGTGTGCTGAGCCTCTTCCTCTACTTATTTTTTACTATCAACTGTAGGCCTGTGAATAGATCCAACATCATCATCAAATTTGCAGATGACACCACAGTGATTGGTCTAATCAGCAATAATGATGAGACGGCCTTCAGGGAGGCGATACATCATCTGTCCACTTGGCCACTACCAAGCCGACCAATCACAGACCTTGCGCTACGTGTCGTTGCGATGTGTAGTTACATTTTTTGAGAGGTGCACGTCAGCGACGCCGACGGCCACGGCGAAGGGCTATGCGTCAGCACCGTAGCATTGGCGTGCGTTTGACGCAGAAGTATAAATCAGCCTTAAGGAACAGCACTTTCCTCAGAGCTGTCCCTTTTTCAACTCTATCCCCCACTAATTATTTTGCCCTCCTAATACACCCCCACTGTCCTCATAACTTGTACTCCTCATTATCATTGCACTATTTAACATTTGCACATTTAAAAATTACACATTCATTGCACTACATTAGACTGATTCATTCATTTGAACTATACATATACTGTACACTTGTAATTGTTTATCTACCTGTACACTTCTGATTATTAATAGCAACCTGTACATATAATAATTTATTTTAAATTTCTGTTCATAGCTAATACAACCTGTATATAATGTTGATAGTACATCCATCTGTAAATATCACTAAAGTTTTTCTATAACTGCACTTTATACCTTATACCTGTATCCTGCACTTGCTGCTATTGCACTGCTGGTTAGACCTAAACTGATTTTCGTTGCATTGTACTTGTACATGTGTAATGACAATAAAGTTTAATCTAATCTAATACATTTCTTAACGTTTTCCAATTTGTCATTTATGTATTTAACTAATCAAATTTGTATTATTTACAGACAACCAATGTCCATGTCAAAAGAGCGTCTATTCTTCAAGCTCTCTTTACTTACCTTGGTGAGGATGAGGCATGCCTGGTGAAAGAATACATGGTGAGTGCATCATAGTACTAGTGCTTGCACCTGGGCTATAAGAAAGAACTGCTTTGTTCAGAGGCTGAGGGTGGGGTTACAGTGGCCAATGAGACAAACAGAAACTTTTTTGAGTGCCATATTTGAGTTAATAGGTGAACCTAATGTTGAACACATTATGGTCTATTCAAATCACATTGCGCTGCACAAACACTTGCTAGATTCGTGCAAGTAAGTTGCATACTAATTCAATGCAAAAGTATGAATAGAACAATGAACAAAATATTTTAATATCTCAAAAACAAAATTAATAATTTTAAAGAATTTGAAAATAGCGTTTTCACTGTATGTCAATGGCTTTTTTCAAATGCTTTCTATTTCCATATATTTGTACATGAAGTTAAAAAAAAAATGCCATTGGTCACTACACGCGTAAGAGCAACCTATTATCTTTTGCCTCAAACTCTTGCATTGTAATGGTAATACACACTGTTATTGAACCGTGAGAAAACTATCAGCTTGTTGAGTGTGACATCACATCGCTTGACTATATCAAATAGTATTGGGAGACTCAAAAAATGGTAATAATAAACATTTACAAAGCGATGTAATACTTTTTGAAAATCACAATATGTGCCTAATATTAGTATGCCTAAAAATACTAAATGATTAAAAGTTGCATAAGTTTCTTAATCCTCTGACGTTCTCAGCATTGGGTTCAGATCTGTGTTTGACCCCAGAGATATTCATTGTTTAGTCCAGGGGTGTCCAAGCTTGGTCCTGGAGGGCCTGTGTCGTGCTAAGTTTAGTTCCAATTGCAATTCCAATTCCAAGTCCAATTAGACACACCTATGCTAGCTAATCAAGCTCTTACTAGGTGATCTAGAAACTATCTTGCCTCAACACACCTGCAAGGATGAGCTAAAATTGGCAGAACACTGGCCCTCCAAGAAGGAGTTTGGACACCCCTGTTTTAGTCTTTCTAAACAGTATTATTATTTCTAAATTACAAACAAATAGTCACAGAATTACAAGTAAACCACTTTTTTCCAAAAAAGAGAAAATTTATGTTTATGTTAAGATTAAAATTACTGTTTAAAAGCAACTTGACTTGTATTACATTTTTAGGTCAATGGGTGGCCGTACTAACAATCAAAAATGTATTGCTGAATAATTCTTCAAAAATGTTTAATCTAATAATGAAACATGACGTTTTTTTAAAGTATGAATTCAAGTTTTAAATTTGTATATTTACTTATACATTTAAAATATACTTAATATATTTAAATTATTTTGGTTTAATTAATGACACGTAAAAATACTAATTAAATAAATATACATGTCTATTAATTTGTCCAATTAAATTTGTTTTATTATCATTGTACTTTTTTTTTATTATTTGCAGAGGTCCTGTGGGTCTTTGAAAAGTCTTAAGTATTAAATTAGATTTTTACAATTTAAGGTCATAAAAAGTCTTAAATTTGAGAGGTCTTAAATTTTGCATCAAGGTGTGACATTTCTACTGAATTTCATTCGCTGATGTTTATTTTACTTGTGCACAATTATTCTTAAGCCTTGTGTGCTGTTGAGAATATTAATTTGGAGACAGATTTCTTTGTTTGAGCTCATGAAAGTGAGACTTTTGCACACATTGTTTTGAAAGTTGCTTATTTACATTTTTTCAGACATATAGTAAACATAGTAAGTGTATTTATGCACACATACACACACACACACACTATCATTTACTGTTTATACTCCAAAGAACTCAAAAAATATAAAAGCCAGAAACTTTTTTGCACAGGACTATCTAAATGGTTATGCTGTCAACTGATCATCAACAGTAAAAATGACAAAATATACATTTACCAAAAAGGGAAGATAACCAGCAACAATGCGTGATTACATGCTGTCATGGATTTGCATCCAAAAAATGTTTTAATGGAAGTCAATGGGGCAAAAAAACAGCAACTAACATAAGGAAAGGGTAGTAAATTTAAATAATACAGAAGGGTTAAGGTGAACAATTGTGACCGGGTATATTGATATACAGTGGGTCTGATCAGAAGGTATTTCCACATTTAAGTGGCCAAATCTGTGGTTTTCAAGCCTTAAACCTTGGGTAATATTATTTAAATAATAATGCAATAATGCTTCCTTGACATTATATTTAGTTTTCAACATATTACTGTATTGTTTGCCTTTCAATTATTTTTTCCAAAATTATTTTTAGTTAGTCTTAAAAGATCTTAAATTTACCCTGATAAAACCTGAATAAACCCTGTAAATAATTGTGAAGAAGTTGTACTTGCAGATCATGCACAAATATATGTACGCCAATACGCAATCATAAATGATTGTTATAATATTTCACAGGTATCAATGTGGGTGTGGGGAGGGCCGTTAAGGTTTTGGTTTTAATTACATTAGATTTCTTCTGACTTTTTACAAAATGTTTCAAAAACAATGTCTAATAATGGTTTCTTTTTATTTAAATATAGGGCAATCAAAAAGAAGAATTTTTGAAGGACCTGACAAACACCGCCATGGCCATATGTGTCATCAAAAAGGAAAGAGGAGATTATGAGGACATTGGCATCGTTGTGGATGGAACAGTGATTATTGAACAGATAAAATCTGTTGCACAAGCCTGTGCACTGATGTTGGGGGCAATTTATGTGCTTGATTTGGCCTACCCAAAAGAACTCAAATACTATTACGAGTTTGCCCAAAAAGTACTTGTGCAAATGAACTCTGACAAGCTCTCCTCAAAGGTTCTCATACTGGAAAACAATGTGATACTGTAATTTTAAGCATTGAAGTGTTAATAAATGCTCAACAACCAAATGTATATCATATACAAATTGCAGTTTAGTGTAGGAATTGTTTAATAAGTGAATTCAGTTTTCTTTGTGTGCAAAATTAATTAGCTGAAGGAACTTGTTTTAAATGGTGTGCGTGCGTGTGTGTGTGTGTGTGTGTGTGTGAGAGAGAGAGAGCATGTGCATTCTATAAACTTTGTATTTATTCCATTTCATACAACTTGTAGTTGCTCAATTTGTTTTTTTTTTAATTTTTTAAGTTAATTAGTTGATTATTTTGTGTATTGGGGTGTGTGTGTGTGTCATAAGGATTGCCGTTTGCTCCAAGACTTCATACAGTTTCTTTTATGTGTTGGTTTAAATTAAATGTGCTGTACAAACTGTTTATTGTGTTATGGTGTGCTGCTAAAGCATTTTTAGGCAGTGATTTATGTTTTGTTAAAAAAATGCATCTTAAAAAAGTCATTAAAATGAATTCAAAACAAATGTGGTCAAGTGTCATTTCAAAGTGTATTTGCAAGCAATTTAATGATCATTTTAGACATCAAAAATAAATAGATATAAGTAGGAATAACATAATTAAATTATAGTGAACTAAATGAATTTCATTAGATAAATGTAACTAAATAAAATTGATTAAATCCAACTTATTTTGATTGTTTAAATCCAACACATATAAATTGAGTAAATCCAACCTAATTTGATTGTTTAAATCCAACACATATAAATTGAGTAAATCCAACTAAAATTGTTTGCTTAAACTTAACCCAATTCAATTATTTGCAACAGCTTGCCTTAAAAAAATTAAGTAAATCCAATGAATCATTTTTTTCAGTGTACCCTCATAACAAGGAACAGCACTTTTCCCAGGGCTGAAGGTTACAGCATTACATTGTTTAATGGAGAGCAGCCCAGTTACAGAGCCTCTGATTATCACATCCTCCAGGACTGAAGTAAAGCGCTTCTCTGAGCTCCTCCATGCTGCTTCAGCTCATGGTAAAGCCTAATAGTCATTTCCTGATGGACCTCCTTCAAAAGAATGTTTTAATGTAATTGTCAGATTTCAGCCTGCAGTAGTAGGCTAAGTGAGATTAAAATGAAGCACAAAGACGTGCTGGATGATGCGCTGCACATGATAAATAAATTGGCCTGTGAAAGTAAAGCCGGCTTTCTGGATCACTATTGACAAACATTGGTCATTTCTATTCTCTATGCAAAGCAGAAAAACTTAAAGTGCCCTTATTATGCTTTTTCGGATATTACCTATTCGGTAGTGTGCAGTATGTGAAGCGGTGGCCAAATTGATTAGAACATTTGGCATATTTAAATGGTTTCTGTTGTTTTTGTGTAACTGCCCATTATAATATCCATAAAACAAATTTACAAAAACACCATTATGCTTTGTGAATAGAGATTTTCAGATACCCTTTTTTCCTTCTTGATATTGACTGATACCTGAGTTCAGAGTACTGAACCGATACCTGAGTGTGTATTGGTAGAAACAGTTGTGTAGCCCTGTATAAATTGACAGAATTGGATTATAGTGGGCTTCAGACCGATCCATTAATAAATAATAATTAATAAATTACATACAGTGAACTAGGCATGTCTCTAACACCCCTGGAGTCATTATACAAGAGAGCACTAAAAATCCATGATAAAAAACCTTGACTGTAATATTAAAAAAAAAACATTTTTGATAATATGGGTAAATATTCTAACATTTGTTTAGTTTTTTTTAATTATTCATAATGTTGCTGCTCCTTTGTTAAGAAAATGTTTACCTCTTGCATAAGATAAAATATCTCAAATGACATGCTCCATAGTAAGAGAAGAGTGTATTGTCCCTAGACGTAAAACCTCTTTTGGCCAACCATCTTTTTCTAATAGTCACAAGTCTATGGAATACGCTAGCAACAGAATAACTCTCATGCACAAACTACAAGATGTTTTCACGCCTGACCAAGGGGGGTGTTTTGTCAAATCAAATTTGTACACACCGGGTGTTTATATACAGTTTAGTCTGTATGTGATTGAATCTGTATGTTTTAAATTAGCAATTTTATTTTATTATTATTCTTTCTTCTGTTTGAGTGTTTTAAGATTTACCTGTCCAGGGACTGCAGCTGGAAAATAGCAATCTTGCTAAAACCTGGAACAACGCATTTTTTCTTTTCGAGGTTAATGTATTTTTTGTGCATGTCTCTGTTAAATCATTAAAACAAATTCAAAATTCAAATTTAGAGTATGTTTAATATCTGACATTTTTATTATCAGACATTCAACAATAATGTTATTCACTGTACTTTCCTGAAACAAGTTCAGTCACAAATCAAAACATGTAAACAGAAAAAAAATGTTTTGCAATATAACTGCATAAAACTGCGTAAAAATCAGAGCAATATATATATATATATATATATATATATATATAAATATAAATTTTGTAGATAATTATACAAAAATTACAGCACTAAGCACTAAGAGAATGTAAACATCAAGCTGAGGTTTAAATCTGAATGTGCACTGTGTTTAATACTATTGATTCTTGAGTCGAATAAATGAATCATGTTGGGTTCAGATCTTTTGCTTGAACGCATAGACGTCGATACAGTACATCACCAAATATGAAGTGCCAGTTCCAGTAAAACGTGAACGCGCCTTTCCCTTCAGACACTAGCGGAGCATGGGGAATCACAGGACTGATCATGACACGAAAATGACGATCTCTGACAGATGGAGATTCCACAGTGGGGAATGAGGGGTTGAAGTTAATTTTCACAACAATACCACCAATAGCCAACCTAGTGCTGTGTTTGTTTCTGTCCTTTTTCTGATTTTTGATACAATAAGAGATGCTGCAACGTGGGATATTAGCCCCTTTCACAGATGAAACTGGTAAATATCCAGAAAATTTCTGGAACAACTTTATCGGTAAATTTATAAAAAAGGTTCTCTCACAGGCACGGACGTTCCAGAATTTTTCCGGAAAAGACCATTCACACATCCATTCCAAAATACAGGTGAATTCTGATGCACTAACCAGAAGTTACCTATAAACGGGCTCTGACGGTTTCACCTTTATGTAAAGCTATATTATTTTATGCAGCTGCTTGTAAGACATCCAAAGGCAGATGCGCACAGCAGATACATGTTTTAAAGCTTGACTACCTTACAAATTCTGTGGATGGATAAGTATTGTGAACAACTGCGATGAAAACTTATGAAGGAACACTTTCAGAAGTCGAGATGTTCATAATATGTGTTTCACATGCACACGCGACAAGCAACTGAAGCAGCTTTAAGGTAAACAAACAGCGGTTTATTATAAGAATTTTATCAATAATTATTTACACAGTTAGCATTAAAGCCTGCTTTATACTTCTGCGTCAAGTGACCGGCGTAACGGCCACCACGAAGGGCTATGCATCAACGCCGTAGCATACGTGTGCGTTTGACGCAGAAGTATAAATCAGCCTTTAGAAGAAACATTATCGTTATCTGACCAACATCTAGCAGGTTGTGTCTGGAAAATATTCAAAGGCTTTTATTTTCATAAACACCACACATGTGAGTGTTCTAATTGGCTAAAGTAGACGTCTCACATCAGCGCGTTCTAGACGAGAACGTGCTCTTTCCAGCTATCTTCCTTCTGCATTCACACAGTGCAGCATTCCAGCAAATTACCGAAACTTCTCTTTACGGAAAATTGCTGGAATGAATTTAACAGTATTTTTAAAATGGCCTGTTCATACATACAGACATTTCCGGAAAATTGCCGGTAATTTTCTGGCAAGGTCTGTATTTATGAAAAGGGCTTTTGTCTCCGGCCGTTTGCTATTAAAGGAAAGAGCAGCAGAGGCTATTATGTTTGAGACTTTGTCAGACTTTGACAGGGACATTGTCAGTAACTCATAGAGTTATGGACCTGTTTCTTCTTCCTACCGATCATAACATGTAAGTGTAATTAAAATGGTTGCCTTATTTTCTGTAGTTTGCAAAATATGTATTCAATAATGTGTGATCAGCCTGTTATTGGAGACCCCCAAAACCGAAATATGACCTTTTATGATGCAAAATATGGGCTCTATAAGGTAAAGAGCATTTTCTGGCTTTTCTGACAAGCTGCAAGTGGTAGACTAATCAAAACAGGCTAATTCAATCATTTGACCAATCAAATCAAAGGCAGAGTTTGTACTTTAAAAACCGGACTCTTAAACCAACAATTTCACACACTATAAGAAAAGAGCTGACACTGCAGTGTATATAAGGAGAAAATGAAAGTGTTTTTTGACCTTGCATGGGTGTAAACCAATTGTAGGAAAGCTCCAAGGCAAAATTAGGAACCTTTGAATAGCCTAATGGGGCTTTTTAAGTTAAAGCCAACAAAAGACAATTAGCCTAAATCATGCTCTGGCTTGTCCATTTAGCACGCAGCAATGAACCACCACCACAGGCTAACCTATATTTTGGTGATGCATTACCTGCGTGATGAAGGAGCTGAGCCTGCATTGCTTTCACCTTGGTCTAATTTGCCCGGGCGGACGGAATGACACTTGCTGACTGAATTTCTATAACATAGATCTGAGTCGATGTACAGCAGCGAGGCTATCATAGACACCCATGCATGTGTATATTTGTGTCTTCTGTCCTTAGATGACCCTGGATTAGCCTGCATGTCATCTGCCGATAGCGACCGCAAGAGAACGGCCTGTCTGCTAAATGTATACTTGAAATGACCCTGTGC